TCATCCACATGGCTGACACTGACAAAGGTTCTACAATCTGAGGTACAGGATCTCAGGATAAATCCTGAGGGGATTTCACTGACCTTATCAGATCCAAAAACTACAACTCTTGTTGCATAGGTCCTGCTTTACCTTGGTCTTAACCATACAGCAGAAAAGTATAAAAACGAAGTATAAGAAGTAAAGCCATGGTGTTATATTGAGCTGAAGGGGACTCAGATCAACAATTTCTGACATTGCCAATGAAGCAAAAGACCCAATACTATTACAGATTATTGAACTCTTTTAGGATATTTTGCTGAGTTTACATACCTATAATATTTAAATGATGGAAGTTAACAAAAAAAGGGGATACAGATGAATATCCATTTTGTACTGTGTATTCAAAATGGTTAGGATAGATATTTAGTTATATTCCCTTAATCAATAGAGGGATTTGGTCTAATGGTGTTTGTAAATAGGATATCAAGTCTACATCTTGTACAGCAATTAACCACTAGGAAGAATGTATGCAATTTGTTAATTATTGAAACTGTCCTACCAATTTGGTTTGAAAGTGTCTCATTGCTGTTTGTTTCTCAATAAAATTATGGAAAAAAATTTTAAAAAAAAGGAAAACCTGATGCAGCAAAAAAAGGAGTCATCAAGGCTGAAAAGCGAAGAAAAAGAAGGAAGAGGAGTAGGATGAGAAAGATGAGAATGAAGAGGTGGAAGAAGATGAAAAAGAGGATGAGGAGGATGAAGAAGAGGATGATGATGAGTAAGTTGGTTCTAGTGCAGTTTTTTTTCTTGTCCCCAAAGCATTTAACACCCCCTGTACACAACTCACTTCTTTTAAAAAATTGAAATGTAAGGCTGGGTAAGATTTGTTTTTAAACTGTACAGTGTCTTTTTTTGGTATAGTTAACATACTACTGAATGTGTCTGTAGATAGCCCTGTCCTGGTGGTATTTTCAATAGCCATTAACCTTGCCTGGTACAGTATGGGGGTTGTAAATTGGCATGGAAATTTAAAGCTGCTTCTTGTTGGTGCTCAGCACTAATTAGTTATATATGAGGACGTAGTTTTTCATCTTCAGTTGTCTCTGATGCAGCTTATACGAAATAATTGTTGTTCTGTTAACTCAATACCACTCTGTAATTGCAAAAAAGTTGCAACTGTTTTGTTGACATTCTGAATGCTTCTAAGTAAATGCAATTTTTATTAGAAAAAAAGAAAAACAAAATTTTATGTAAAAGATAAGTCACAATTGAGCTGATTCTCTTACCTATGAACATTTAGGTTGTTTCCAAGTTTTTATAACCATAAAATGATGTCACACAGCTATAGATACTCAGTGGAAAAAAGGTTTTCTTCACATTGTTAAGGGGGAAAAATCATGTGATAAAATGGCATTTGGAGTTTTTGGTCATTTTTAGGGTGGAAAAATGCAGCACTGAATAAATGTTTATTAAAGCACTTATGTCAGTGAAATGTTAGTATTTGAAAATGAAACTGCCTCCCCATGTAGGCCAAGATCTTGCACTGTGGAGCTTGCTTATTCATAGATGCTCTATAAATATCTGTCAAATGAACTACACTTCTTTCCAGTTCTTGAATACACAAGATAATGGTTAAGTTCCTGTTTTGTGAGAAATATACTCCATTTATCTGTGAGCTAAACTTTTAACCAGATGGTAAAGAAGTAGATTTTGAGGAAATAGAATCAAGAACAGATATCTCAAAGTTAGGATTTATGTTGAGTGGTCTTATTCCTTTTAATAAAATCAAAAACAAAGTTATGCACCAAAGGACTACCTAGGAAAATAATAGCTGAACACTGGGGGAAAGAGACTAGGCTGCACACATACATGGTATATGTAAAGAATTCTGGAAGAGTAGGTTTAGTTGGCACTGTTGACAAATCCCAAAAGGTCATGACACAGTGCTCCCATTAAATAGGAAGTCTTTGGTGCCAATGTAAAGTCAGAGATGGGAAAATAGCAGTTTATGGATGCCATAGTGATGACCTGCACCCCACCAGGTGTTCTCTCTCACTCCTGCCCACAGTGTCCATGTGAGAAAAGCCTTACCTGGGGGATGTAGAAGAGCCCCAGTAGATTGGCCACTGCTGTGGAGACACCAGAGCCGGTCGCTCCCACCACAGCAATAGTGGAGGGGATGTGTTCTGAGCAGTTGCAGAACTCATCCAGGTTCAAAGAATCTATTTTGTTCTGGGCAACAAAACTCAGAGTGGCCTCCAAAGCCTTTGAAACAGTGTTGCAAGTGTCAAATATCCTGTATCCCAGTGTCATGTTAGGAAGAAGGGCCGGACTGCTGTTGATCTCCTCTATGGCAAATATCATGGCTTGTAACCATCGAAACCCACGGAAATTATACCTGGAACAGAGAAGCAGAGGAAATTGGAGAGCCTTCTGTGAACTGTTCTAGAGTAAGGGCTGGGCAGAGCTGGGTTTGAATCATGGCTCTGTTAGCCTGAGGTTTTGTCCCAGCTCATTGAGACTCACAGTCCTCTCTGGAAATTGAGGGTAATACTTGCCTCCTTAAGGTGGCTGTGAGGATGATGACACGAGGCATTAGGTGAAAGTCTCACCATGGTGCCTCCCAGTTAGGGAGCAGTAATGACAGATTGTTGTTAGTGGTTTATAATCTTTTGTAACCAGTAATATTCTTTGATATTAGTAATTCACGGAATCATTTATTTCTGTCTCTACTAGCAAATAATTTGTAGTAGTTGATCTTAACTACTTTAATAGAAGTAGTACACATTTTTAAAAAGAAAAAGGACCAGGGAAAATATAACCAGATTAGGATATTAATATGTGGGAGCCTAAAAATAACCTCAGATTTGCAGATAAGACATAAATTTATATTATGAGATTCCTGGAGGTGAATGGAGAGATTTTGAGAAAACAGTGATCTCGTCTTTGCAAGCAAACAGATGAAAGGTGTCCAGTGTGGTGGTTATTTCTGGGTGTTGAAATGATGAGCTTTAAAATCCTGTGCTTTTAGCCTAGTTGCACATCATATTTAAAAATGAACATGCACGCTTTTTCAAAGGAGATTATTTTAAGGAGAAATCAAGCAAATTAACAAAGACAAGTAGGGCCAGTGACATAATTTTCACAAGACCAGCACTTGGGCCCAGGTGAGGGCTACATGGATGTGCTGACTCCATGCATGCAGGTCCACAGGACACTCCTGGCCATGTGGCAGACTCTTGCACTGTGGGTTTCATGACTTGAACTCAGTGCCAGGAAGTTGGAAATCTGATCTGTTATCCTTCACTGCATTGCTCAGGTTCTTCATCTAACTGTAAGTATGACATTTTTCTCTCTGTTACTTTTTATATTTCCTTCATTTATTTTCTTTTTAAGAAAAATATTAATTTTGCTGATATATTTCAGATATAGATAAGGATCACATTCATCATAGGGAGTTTGTGCCTGTACATGCTATATCTCGATTCTTGTCTTTTCCATTTCCCTCCTGTTATGATTCGTGTCTAGTTGACCCCCAAAGCCTCATGTAGCCATTGGGGCATGGTTCTAGAGTTTGTGATTACTTCATGGCCCAGGGCTGGAATAATGGGTGTGACTGCTACACTCAGCCTGGGCAGATGGCCAGAATGCATCATAAGGGAGACAGACTTGCTCTCTCTTGCCACTGCTGTCACAGCTCCTCCTTTTTCTCTTTGCTCTTTGCTGTTTTCCACCACCATAAACTGCTGCCCTCTGCCATGTGTCTCTCTGCCTTAGAGCTAGCCGAGCATGGACTGAGACCTCCACTAACTGAGAGCTAAATAAATCTTTCTTTCCTTAATTTTGGGTGTCAGATATTTTGTCCCAGAAATGAGAGAGGAGTGACTGAGATACCCCCCTCCCTTCAACCACTCTTCTCCTCCTTATTTACAAAAGCTTTGTTTCCATTTTTTCTTTCTTTTCTTTTCCCTTCCTTCCTTTCTCCCTTCCCCTTGTGTAATTCCTCTTCATATTTAAACATTTTCTTCCTATTTCAAAAATATCTATTTTACATTTTGGTCCTTATTTATTATTTCTTACTTAATGTTAGCTCTGTATATACGTGGTATATATATATCATTTTCCCAGAAAAGAATGACAGAGTATTTTTACACATGAGTCACATGAAAGGTACAGCCAACTTAAATTCTGCACTTAGTTTTTTATGCATAAAATATGTACTTATATTATCTAATGTACTGTGTCTCTCTAGAACATGAACAGAAACCCAATGTTGAATAATCCTGCTTTTATTTTCATTTTCCAGGTATGAGGAAGATCAAGAAAACCACTGAATCCCCTCTAGAAGTTGCTAGTCTCAAATAGGAAGTGCTACCTTCTCAGAGAAGCTGGGGCAGGCCTTGGGGGGCAGTCACCACTTCTGATTAAGGAGGAGATACAATGTCACTTACTCAGAGGAGGTCACATCGTACAGCAAAGAAGGGTCCACCCCCCAATTCCACACTGTGCGGAGGTCGCGGTAAACTAGGAAACATCAGGTAGAAGACAGCTGGAACAGTGAGGGATCTGTGAACCCTGCCATGCAGGAACATGGCTGATGAGAGAAATGAGACTATTTGGAGCTAGAGAAGAAAAGGGTAGTAGGACACATTTGCTATCTTCAGTCAGCCGAGGGGAGAGTGCACTGAGAGGTATGCTCTGCAGGCTGTGCTGCTCAGCCTCTATTAAGTGTATTCTGTTCGTGGGGGGTTGGGTGATCAGGTACTAGTGGCCACTGAGGCATGTAAGTCAGGGAGAATGTACTACTAAGGTTTGCGAGGGCTACAGTGCACTTCCTTCTCGGCACTTATTCTTCCATTAAAGCCACACTGTCGTCAGCTGCTCCCACCAGGTGGGGGAAAAGTGGTGACCTGGCTACCAAGGAACTGGGCTTTAATAGGGGAGGGATTTTTCTACTGGGTACATTTGACATTGTAGTTTTGGAAAAATATTCTTTCGGGAAAGAAGAGGAGACAGCAATAAGCTTTAGCATGATTGTGAATCAGCATTTTTGAAAAGAGAGAACCAAGTTTTACAAAGTCGTTTAGGGGTTTGTATAGATTTTTTCCAACCACCCAGAAAAGATTCTCAGATCTGGCTCCTTCCCTTACCTGATACATTCCACTGACTCTGGCCTTGATTTTAGATCTTGATCTTTGGCTGCTACTCCAAAATGAATAGGAAAGAGCCCACCCAGGATAATGTCTCCTTTCTTCTGGGCTCGCTGGTCAGGCCCATAGGCAGAGGAGTACCAGGCGAGGGCCAAGAGGACCAAACAGCAGCCGTAAGACACCATGACTCTGCCTTCTCTCCCGGGCAGAGACACAGTGCTCATAGTGGTTTGGGGGCACCGAGGACTTTCTCCCCTGGTGCAGCTCATGCCCTGTGGGGAGGCTGCACATCGACAGAGTAATTATGAACAGAATGGAAGCCCTGGTGTTTGCATTTCCATTTCTGTCTTCTCCATTGCAGACAGGTAGGGTGATGGTCTTTGGGTCTTCAGGGGCCACATCCTGTAGAGGCTGTCAGTGAGGCTTTCTAAAAGAAAAGAGGTAAAATGGATTCAGTGAAATATACACCCCATCTTAAGATGACTGCCACAGAGATGCCTCAGAATGTCAGTTTAGAGGGGTTTAAGAGTGGCAGATGGAAAAGGCATGACTTGGAGTCACAGTTTTAGGTCACCTCATATAAGATACGGAACACTTTAATTGCACACATCACTGAAAGATTATGTTCTGTCATGAAAGTCCATATTTTGAAGAGGTCATTGATAAGCTAAGGCCTCCAATGATGCAACTTTTGGGGTGTGCTCTATTTTTTCTTTTGCATGAATAATGCATAGAATTGGGTTTAGTGGTAACAGAACCCTTGACTATATTAATGTATTTTATTCAGTGCACATATTCCTATGGAAAGCACAGAACAAAGCATATTTAAATTTAAATCTAAAAAAAAGAAAAAAATTAAATCTAACTTGAAACAGAACAAAAAGTCAGAAAAGACCATTTATTTATTAATTTTTTCTGATGTCCCCTTTCATGCAGATTGCTGATTCTGATTGATATGACACTCTTAGAAGAATAGTTCTTGTAGTCAGATAAATTATAGGTCAGATGTTTTAAAAAAATAAGATTTGACAATTCTATCTATGAAGACTCTTCTTCTATAGCATGACTGACCTAGTAAAGACTACTTTCTATACTCTGCTTCCTATCCCACCCACCCCATGTGTTGGTTACCAATGACATATTGATACGGACTAAATGCACAGCCTTTCCTGAGTTTTTAGGGCCAGCATTGAACTGTCAATCAGCTACCTCCACCTCAAAGTCTCAAGGTGCTTGAACTTCACAAGCCCTAAACTCACCCCCCTCCCAAACCTGTTCCTTCTTCATTATTTTCTATCACAGAAAATTACATGCCATCTACAAGGACTCAAGCTTAGATATCATCTTTGCTTCGTCTCTCTTCTCATCATTGTTCTTTATGTTCAATCACTGTCAGGGTTTATATGAGAATGATTCCCAAAGTCCGCACACATTCATAGATGGGGCTTTTGGAAGAAGACTGGGCCACAGGAAGGCTGTCGCTGACTTGCTGTTAGAAGGTGGGGCCTGGTCAGGGGAAGCAGCTTCCTGGGGCACACCTTGAAGGGTAGACCAATGTCTCCTTCTGTGGCTCCTACTTTCTCTGTCCTTCCTGGATGCCACAATGTGAGCAGCCTTCCTCTGCCAGACCCTCTGGCCATGTACTTCCTGACTTGGAGTCAGCTGACTTTGGACTGAATCCTCTAAAAACTTGCACCAAAAAAAAAAACCATCTCCTTTAAGTTGTGAGAACTGTGAATCGTGTCTTAGCAATGGGAAAGTGACCAACACAGTGACAAAATACTATGAATTCTTTGTGCTGAGTATCTCTGGCACTCATCTATTCTTCTCTGTTTCCAGGGCCATCGGAAGTCTCACTATTTCTTACCTGGATTTCTTCCCCCTGTTTAGCCTCCCCCACTTCAGTTTTGTTTCTTTGCGTCCTGCCTTTGCAAATCTTTGCATCCAGTAGATATCTGAAGCACAGGCTCTGGGATTAAACCTGGCTGTGAACCAGAGCTCTGCTACTTCTCATGAACTCTCACAGTACACAAACTTTGGGGGCAGGTCATTGATTTCTGTGATCTTAGCAAAATAATGCATGGAAAGCCATTAGCACAACTAGGAAACACATGAAAAATGCAAGCTACAACCAGTCCTTCTCCAGCTTCACTCTTGCTGGCCTTCTCCTGAATGTCCCACTCCAGCCTTGCTGCACTTCCTTCCTTTCTCAAGCATCTCAGGCTTTTAGGATATGAGATATCTCACTGGCTCACTTTTTTTTTCTGGCCCAGACTTCGGCTGGAAAACATCTAATCTTTCAACTTGCAGAGGCCCATAAATGTGGTGAGTGGTGGGGCCTTTGTGTAACTGCAGAAAAGAGCTCATCCTGGGGCAGGCACGGCCTGGAGGGGAAGAACACACTGTATTTCAGCCTGTGTGACGTAGTCACAGTCATACAGTGAGCAACTCACAGGGCCCTTTCAGGAGGCAGATGAGGCCTGAACTTCCAGGCTAGGAAGGGTCCCCTCTATGAAGATGGGCCTTTATATCTTGGATCTTGGAATTCTCCGTTTGTTTTTTTGGTTTTTTTTTCTCCATAATTTTATTGAGAAACAAATAGCAATGAGACAGTTTCAAATCAAATTGGTAGGACAGTTTCAATAATTAACACATTGCATACTCTCTTCCTAGTGATCACTTGCTGTACAAGATGCAGACATTATATCCTATTTACAAATGTTATTAGAACAAATCCCTCTATTCATTAACTATATATGTATCCTAACCATTTTGAATACACAGATACAAAATGGACTTTCATCTGTATCCCCTATTTTGTTTAGTTCTGTCATTTGAATATTATAGGTGTGTAAACTCAGCAAAATATTCCAAAAGAGTCCAGTAGGAACTCTCCTTTTGGAAGCTTTATTATAGTCACATACATATGTGTCTGATTCCAGAGCCCAGGCTCCATACCGCTGTTGGGTGCTGTCTTTCACCCCGTAGGAGCCTTCAGTAGTCACCGTAGAAGGGGCATGGGCCTCATCCAGAAGGTGCACCCAGCAGACACTCAACTCCTGAGAAATTTCCCCAGCAATGTTTGAGCATCCATGACCAGCCAGCCAGCTTTCAGACTCTAGTCCTACATTTAGATTTTTGACTTCTTTGGTTGGATGTTTGTCATATGTTCACTCATACATTTAAACAGTAGCTAAGTTGAGGCCTGGGACTGTACAGGCGACAAACACACATTCCTATTCATAGGACCTTCCAGTCCAGTGGGCAGGAACTGTGTGTTTACACTCAGAAATGGAAAACAAAATTATAACTTTGTTTCTTTTGACTAAATTCAAATCTGTCTCCTTTCCAGCACTTAGTGCAGTGTCTGAAATAGTAAATGATGAATAAATGTTTGCTGAATGGATGCGTAAAAACGTACTTTGGAAAGAGACAGAAACTAGCATTTATTGATCAGGCGCTATGCCAGCTCCTTTAACACCAATGTATTTAAAACTGCTGGGCTGGGGAGATAGCTCAGTGGCATAAGCCCCTACTTGGCAAGTGCAAAGTTGTGAGTTGAATCCCCAGTACAAACACACACACACACACACACACACACACACACACACACACACGAAAAATTCTGCTAAGCAATTTGGCAAAGAAAGTAATATGAAGTCCATTTTTTTATGTAGTAAACTGTAGCCAAGTGAAAAATGCTGGTACTTTGTTTAAAAATGAGGAAGGAGAAGGGAATGGGGAAAAAAAAAGAGGTATCAAGATATAGCATGTACAGGTACAAATTCCCTATGATGGATGTGATCAATATGTATACTTAAATTTACCAATAAACTTAATTAAAACTTCATCAAGAACTTAGAATTATTTTAAGGACTGATGTGTACTGAATTAGGTAGGAAATGAGACATTATAGCTGGCCAGAGTAAATCACTATGATCTGTTAAATTTTCCCTGTGAAAGATTAACTACTTGGGGAAGTTTATTAACTTCATTAGTCCAAGCAACAGAAAATTCATGACAAGAAGAAAGAGAGGGAGAGATTGAGGGACAATCTGCAGTGATTGCTACTGCCAGTCTGAAGTAGCCTCCACACCTGCCTTTGTAGTCCAGTTACCAGGGTCCAATTTGCTTTCACAGCTGAGAGTCATTCAAAATTCTCTTGCTCCCTTTCCTCCAGCATCTGATCCCCTTGTTCTGCAGCTCTGGTGGCACTTGGCTCTCCCTTCTCCTTCCTGGTCCTGTTGTCAGTGCCTTCTTCCAGACTTCCTTGCAACAGATTTCTTTTCCTTCCTAGCTTAGTCTTCCGACACTCTAAACACTGACAACCAGGGCAGGACCAAGTAAAACCTTAGCACAGTGGTTTAGCCCTTGAAGCTCACCTCTAGATTCTCAGCCTGTAATGATTAGAAGAATAAAAGCTCCTGAGCCATCACTCACAGCACTTTGGTTTTAATATCTATAGTAAAGGCTTCTTTTTTTCATTACTGGCAATTGAACTGAGAGTCTTTGCACTGAGTTACATTCCCAGGCCTTCCTTCATTTATCTGTTTGTTTCTTTGTTGATTTATTTTTTATTTCAAGACAGTGTCTCACTAAGTCACTAAGATGTCCAGACTTGTCCCAAACTTGCCACTCTCCTGTCTCAACCTCCCAGACTGCTGGGCATACAGGCATATGTCAGTGCAGCCAGCAGTCACTTAACTGGACCTGTTGTGTCTGCATGCTTTTATGACCCCAGGAAAATCACTTTAGGCTAGACTGGTGGCTGCTCAAAATAAAGACTATTTCCCTTAGTTTCCTCTATGGTTACATGTGGTCATGGGACTAAGTCCTTGCCAATGAGATGTACCATGACATGTCGTGTGATAGTTTCCAGGAGTCTGTGCAGGAAAGCTGGTGTTTGCTTTCATTCCTTCATCAGTTTCCCTTTCCTCAGCAGCATGGAGGTGGATGTGATAGCTGGGCTCCGTCTTGAGCCATGAGCCACACTGCAGGGATGGATGGTGCCATGAGCTAACTGTTTCATGCAGCAGAACCTTGCTACTGAGCTGTCCCTGGATTGTTACGTGAAGGAGAAACATACTTCTGACTTGTTTAAACAACTATTGTGTATTTTTTCTTACTGAAGTATCTCTAATAATATCTGAGTCACGAATAAACACATTTATTTTCTTTACTATAT